ATTTATCTAAACAGTCATATTTAAGCAACAATGAAGGCTTACAGCAAATCTCAGGAGAAGACATGACTTGCCAACACCTGAATCTCCAATTAATAGAAGTTTGAACAAATAGTCACTGGAAGATACGAAGTCAAATGTCAAACAAAATATACCATATCATAAGGATTGAAACCAAAAAATAAAAAAAATTCGTTGGTTTTTTCAAACATAACTGAATGAATAAAGCTACGAGTACAGAAAACATTTGCCAGAAAATGTACAGAAATTTGAAAAGGCTAAGCTGGCATTTAAAAAAGGCAAAAGAAATGGAAACGAAAATGGAAAATAAGAAAAAGGTCAACAATGTCAAGCTTAAAAGCAAGAACCTATGCCATTTCGCTCAATTAGTCCCCGCCACTCCGCCGCTCATCACTCTACATCTCCGGCCACCTCCAGTCAGTTATCTTAAGCTTATTTCTTATGCATTTTCGGTTTATTTTTGAAGAGTGAAATGAATCCGCTACAGCGAAGAAAGAACCAATGACTTGACTTCGGAACGAAGGGCCTCAATAACCTGTAAAATGACCCAGAAGCTTGACGATTCAAGGAGATACAGCTGAAGCTTATGGCAGCCGAATGAATAGCCATTAATTCAAATCAAAAGAAAATCTCAATTATGGAGAACTTGAGGGACCAATTAAATTACAGTTTGGCGTTAAAATTGATGGCTTGAAGGGGAATGTAAGTAGGCAAATCGATTATATCGACAAATAAGAAATAAATTATATATTTAAAATGAGAGAGAATTCATGAGAAATTTTCAACTGGATTTTGTGGAGTTAGGTTGGGTTGGTGTACTGTGTAGTGCAGCAGAGAAAGCCAAGCCAAGTGGAACAAGACAGTGTGTGAAAATTGGATAGTTTGTGGAAATGTACAAGGGGCCTTTCTCAATCGTATGACGGTTTGTGGAAATGTAATTAGATGGTGTAAGAAAATTGGTTAGAAAAGAGTCTTTGTTAATTATATTTTTTCTTTATCATGATGGTTTGGCAGAAGAAGAGATCCAAGATCATTCCGGACAAGAAACCAAATGTAAGAAATTTCTCAAACCCAAATTTTGCTTCCACTTTCTCAAACAGTGTCAATTTGGGGGGCTTTCGTGATTACACTGTGGCCGGAGAGGTGGATACCGATCGGGTAGTCTTATAGTTGGCCGGAGATGCAGAAAGTGAGTGGCGGACTTCTCTGCGAGGTTTCTGGGGGAAAATGATGAATGGAATTAGAAAGAATTGGTTTTGTTAGATCTATCCCATTTTCTGTTTACTCTTTTTTCTGTTTCTTCCCCCTCAGCCATGCCATTTATTTTGAATTCCTGTATAGTTTCTGTGACCTTTTTCCTGTACTTATAGCACCACCCTGACTGAACAAGTATCAAAACTTTCCACATCAGTTCTTATGAGTAGTCTGTCCTTGCTCCATATAAATGGAAGGCAGACAAGTATTTTCACACAGTACCATCTGTAACAAATTAATATTCCCCAGGAGATTAGGTTTTCATTTTATTCCTTTA